ACACTGAATGAAATGGCAAATGCTTCTATGGTGTATTTTGGCTTCACATTGCTAATATAATTATTTATAAAAAAAGCTAATGCATTACAATTTGCCCTGAAATTTATCCTCAGAATTAGGAGACACTCTGGACTTACTAGTATAAAATCTGAAAGATAGAGTAATTTGAGATTGTACTGAGGTCTCATTGTTCCTATGATGCCAGTATTAATTTGAAATATTGACACATTGCTGAAGAAAACAGAAAAAAATTTGCTGCACTATAAAATTAAAAATGGCTATTCTAAAGTAAGAGAGTAAGAGTCCATTTAGTAAGTTAATATTAAAATAGTCTGTCATTTTGCAAAGAATACAAAAACTTTAAACTGTATTGGAAAGTGTCCTATACATTTTAGTGTACTAAATTAAGATTAAAAATAACTTGAACTGCATTAATGCCTATAGTAAGTTTTATAACTAGAGGGAAGTTTCTTAATGCACTCATATCTGGTGTCTAGTTATTTGAATACCAATCACTGAAAAAATCACAGACTTCTGAATCAGAAATTCAAATAGAAAAATGTGTGACAAATCTTAAAGTCTTTATCTGTCATTGTCATAAATCATTTTGAATTCCAGAAGTAGCTTGTATGATAAAATAGATCTGACTAGCCCAATCTTCTCTCTGGTTTTCACTGTAGCATCTTGTCACTTTTTGGTGAAAATAGGATTAACACTTTGTATGCTATTAGAAAAAAAATCCACCTACTTTATGCTCATTTTGGGAGATTTCAGAATTGCATGGATTTCATGGGGGAAGATGGGGAGAAATCCCAAAATCCTGAGTGTGCAGGTTTGATTTGAATCATTGGATGTTAATTAACATGGATTTCCTGTGTTGGAATTTTTTGAAGCTGAATTATTATGTTGTTCAACTAAAGTCTTCCAAAAGTATTTTTACAAAGGTCTTTTACAGATCTGAAAAGTTATTGAGCTGAATTTGATTGGAGCACCTTTTCATGTGTTCATTTTATTTTTGGTTGCATTTTCTCTAAAGAAGGATGTAATATGTTCATTAATTCTGTGTTTTTCCCACAAATGAAGAAAAAGTAAATCTGTTCATAAAACCTGATTTTGTGTCCATCTTGGATTGGTAATTCTGTTTCATTTTTAAGTATTCACAAAACAATCCATTGTGTGGCCCTCTGTAAATAGTATCTTCTGTTTAACAAGATCTTCCTTTTTTATTTATATGAAATCCTTCTGGATTAAAAAGGTCATTCAACCAATTTAGATAGAAGATATGCAAAAATGTCTTCCATGGTAATTGCACTTACTGTATGATGAAACAGGGCTATATAAAATAACACCAACTGACATTCTGATTTCCTATGAAGTGAGAAAAATTATGCATAAAATAGGTATACCAGTGCAGCTGAAAAAGGGAAGTATTTCTGTGGAAGAACAGCAAGAAATTCAGGAGTTTGCAAAATATCAGTGAAAGATATGAAAACAAAACCACATCTTCACAGCTGATCATTTTGTGCAATGAAATTGCTAAATGAAACAGATGTCTTTCCATTTCTTAGCTTGGCTGACATGAATCACAGATGCCCATTAGCTAAAATAACTATAGGAAACACTTTATGCTAAAAGTAGCAGGGAAATATTTTACAGAACATTTTTTTAGTATTTGAGTAAAATGAAAAAAACTCTGCAGCACTCATTGACAAACTGCTTATGCATTTCAGAGTTGGGTAATGATTCACTGTACAGAGCTGTGAAGCACCTTGGGCAGTCTTTAGTCTCCTTGATTCCTCTAGTAACACCCGGATTGAATTAAAAACTAAAAAAAAAAAAAAAAAAGGAAGGTATTATTTTTTGTTGTTTATCTGTACTACACATTTTCACCCCTTGAATTATGTCTGGAAGACTTGCTCATTTTATCTATAGCTTTGTGTTTCCTGATCACCCAAAAAGACCTGAAAGGTTATTCTGAATTTGAAGTTTTTCTACCATAACTCTAGACTCTTATGTATATACATGTAATTTAAATTGGATTATCAAACAAAAGGCATTATTAATATTTTTTTTAAGAGAAGAAAGTGTTGTAGCTTAAAGTGTTCATCTAACTATGTAGGTTGGTATTCCTTTTAATCATGTTACTGTGAAGTGCAACTCTCAGCTCCCTGCAGGTCTTTATGTAGATATCTCAAAGTCCTATATTCAGCTCCCTTTCCAGACTTTTGGTTAATATATGTGGGGAAAAACAAACAAACAAACAAACTAAAAATCCCCAAACCACACAAACAAAAAGAACCACACAAATAGGAAGTTTGGATTTGGCAAAGGTAATAGGTTAATAATTTTGTGGGCATAAAAACCATTTTCAAATCACCTTACTAGGATTTGCACATAGCTGTGGGAGAGGCAATGGAAAATGATCAACAATGATAGTACCTTACATATGAGACAAATAGCTATGTTAAAAGATCTTTACATGCTAAATTGGATCTAAATATACTTGTTCAAAAGCTTCATTTTTTTAGCGCAGGGATTTTCTTAGTTTTCTGATTTAGTTTTCTTCACCCCACTGTTCAGGCTTCAAGTGCCAGGCAATATTTTAAGGCACTAGAATATGATTATTAGGATTGATAAATTATTTTACAAGTTCCTGGCATGGTTTTCCTAATATCACTCTCCAAAACAATTTTTATGCATCATCTGCATGTTAAATTTGGCCAGATGCTCTTGCTGGGAGCTGTTTGCATGGAGTTATTCTGTTCTGGAGATACTGTGTTAGAATGGATTTTGCCAGGCTGCTTTCTGGTTTCTGAGTCCAAGGACAGGCACTTCAGCACCAATACACTATTGTAAACTTTTTCAAGAATTAATAATACCAGACCTGGGTTTGGAAAGCATCTGGGAAAAGTGCAATGTGCTCATTTAAACATACCATTCAAACAGGACCTTATTTTATATTTCTGTCACAGGTCTAAGGAGGAGCAGGCTCTTATCATGCTCTTCATCATTCTGCTATGAAAATATTTCATAGAGTGGTCATGGACCAGCACTGAGTTCCTAGGACCAAAATGTTTTTGAAATGAAATTATATTCTAGGAAGACATGGAAAAGAAAACACTCAAGGACTACTTACACTAGGTGACCTTTTAAAATAGAACACAGCTTGGAAGATACTGTCGAGTCCCTTAAAAAGAAGGGTGAAAGGGTTAATTGGAGGCATGAAAGGTCACTATTTTTATGGGCCATCAGGGGAGGAGCATGAGGAATTAAAGTTCACTTTAAAAATTTGTTCCTCAAAAGAGGTGTGAGAACGGCTTGCAACCTTCAGTTTGAAGTCATCAAGAGTAACAAAAGTCAAAGAAAGAAAAATATTATTTGCAAAGGATTTTTCTTAACATCTACCTTCATACTCTTTATGTTTGGTGGACATTCATATTTTTGTATTTGTTGTAGAATGAAAAGAAACAGTAAGAAAGTACTCACTTTGTAAAGTAAACATGCACATGTGTAGTGTAAGCAAAGTTTAATAGGTCTAAACACTTTAATGTAGAAAATCAAAGTTCAGAACATGATAGTATTCAAATTTCTACCATGAAGGCTTTCATCCAAGATGCCTGGTGAGTTTTGTCTGTTCCACATATATCAAGTCTGTGGGAAATATTCAGTGTTTGAAAATTTTTCACAACATAGAAGTCTACTGTTTGGCTTTGGTTTATCCCACCATTCCACTCTATATATTTGGTTTCAGCACAAAAGACAGGAAAAGACAAATGACAAATTCAAAACCAGAATAATTAAATATTTTTATTTTTATTACTTGAAACATGCTATGAAAGACAATACAAGAGCATCATAGATGAAAAAGAGGAATATTTTCATGGCTGCATAGCAAGGGGGGTGTTTATACTATCCTACATGTATAACATTTTTTATTACCTGAAATAGGGGCTTAAATTAACAAAAACTCTTCACATGACTAAATATAATCTTCCTGTGGATCTAATTGATGCTGTTATTACATGTGCAAATAACTATTTTAGAAGGAAAAAAAATGCACCAGTTCTTTAACTGGAATATTCTGATATTTCTTGAGTGTGATTTAAAAAAAATGTATTTGCACTTCAGTTTTTTAATAAGAGCTTCTACTTTATTTGATCATTCTGCTGAACTCAAAACTAAGTGTACTAAAAAGAATATATTTCATGGTGAAAATAAATATGAATGCCAGATTCTTTCAGTTAATTATGGAATCAATGAGATTGGAAGGACCTTTCCAACAAGGTGTTTAGAGAAATTATCCTAAATGTATCCAAAGATCAAATAAGCCGTCATCCACATTACTGTGCTGAACAGCAAAGCATAATTGAATAATTTTTCATGTAAAGGCAGTCAGGACTGCAAGTTATATATGTGAAGTTAAGCTTTATACAACTTAAATAATACTGAATGCTTAATAAATGTGGGTGGTTTTCCTTTAGTCTATTTGCATTAGTTGATGGAGTGCAAGTGATAATGACTTGAAATGAAATGTTCCCCAGTCTGGGAGAAGTATAAATAATAGAAATTTTTTTTTAAAAATATTATTTCATGATACCAGTGTTTCTGTTTTCCTTAATTGTCTTGTATTTAGCCATGTTCTTTATCTGCTTGGTGAATTTACAACTAGCACAGAAGTTGTGAATTTTTAATAGGATCTCTTCAATAAAAGAAAAGGTCAATATTAACATAAAAATCTTCTTTAAGAATGTGGTGCAGAGGTTTCTTAGCAGAGAACAGGTGTTGCTGCAAAAGCAAAATCTTCCAGAACAGCCAAATTGAAAGATTCTTGGAGCTAAGTTAGGAAACTGGCTGTCAGTCAGTGGTGAATAAAAATTACTTTCTTAATGGTATCAATCACATATGTTGCACACAGAGTAACTTAAAATATAATAATGATATTTACAAACAACGATTCTTTTCATTGCTTCTAAACAAAATATTGTTTTCTTCCATTTCAGCTTCATTCTGACCAGGATAAAGGAGATGGATCCCTAAAATACATTTTGTCAGGAGATGGGGCTGGTACTCTTTTTATAATTGATGAGAAAACGGGAGATATTCATGCAACTCGGAGAATTGACAGGGAAGAGAAAGCATTTTACACCCTGCGTGCCCAAGCTATCAATAGAAGAACTTTGAGACCAGTGGAACCTGAGTCTGAGTTTGTCATCAAGATCCATGACATCAACGACAATGAACCAACATTTCCAGAAGAAGTTTACACTGCTAGTGTTCCTGAAATGTCAGTAGTAGGTGAGTTCTCTGTACTGAGGCACAAATGCCTTTTCTTCATTACTTGACAGATTATTTCCCCGTCTTTTCAAAAGTCAGTCGTGCAGAATTCTACCTGATGAGTTAAGTATTTTTCATTTTGACATATTTGTTCAAATACTGAAATGGCATTCAGAACCAGATTTTAATGATCTGTTTAAAGATCTGTTTCTACTTGGAATATCCAAATTATTAGCTTTACAGTTCTTTGGAATATAAATATTATAGATAGTAGGCAATGGTGAATCATCCTCCTCCTTAGGAACTGTTAGAATAAGGTGACTAAATTAGCCTGTTGAAAGCTCAATATTTTTTTTCTTTCATTTTCACTGGAAGTTCCCAGAGGTGATAAACACTGAATGGAGAGCTGTCTCCACTCCCTCTGTGGGTGAGGAGAATTATATATTGACTCATGCATGTTGATGCACTGTCTGAAGGTATTCGCCCTCTTTTTTTCTTTTCTTTCACTTTTTTACTGTATAGACAAATCCTCTTGTGCTTTCACTTCCTCCCTTAACTCCATCCACGAGTGACACCTTCATGAATGTTAAACAGCTGTTTGAGTTAATCTTTCTTCTCTTTGCAATGTATTTTCAGTTCCTATCTTAACTACAAAGTTGTGGCCTGGATCATGCCAGCTGTTGAATTTTATAACCAATAACATTTTGGAATATGAGCTATTATTGATATTAGCACATACAATTCACTAAGAACAATTTTTAAAAAATTAAAAAATATTATGTTTCTGTTTAAAATTAGTATTAATTAATTTATTGTATAAGTGTAGCTACTATAATATTAAATTCTAAACAATCAGAAAACAAACAATGCATTCAATATAATTTTAGGCTACTCTTACCATTTTAATCACTTCTACTGCCTGAATAGGTCAAACAGGTATTTTAGATTACTAAATTAGCCTGTTGAGATGATAAGTTTTTAAGACATTTTATATATACAGGTGTGGATGATTTAGTATTTAATTTCCAGGACCTTGGAAAATGCTAAAAGAGAAAAAAAAGACATAATTATTGAAAGAGAATGGCCTCAGCAAATCTGTGCAGCAATGTATGGAAGCATAATACTAATAGCTTTTTGTTCTTAATATTTCAATCTGTTTTCAGTTTATGATTTAATCAGTTTTTTAAAATTCCAGCATTCAGCAAGTGGTTTTTATTGTAAAGGAAAATAAATTTTAAAAAGAAAGATAATGAAATCTGACAGATGATTGTGTAGGCCTGTACTGAAATCTCATCAAATCAGCCCACATAAAGAGGAGAACTGAAAAGTCTTCCACCTTTACTGTTCCAAAATCTAACAAATTGTACTACCAGTTTACTAATGTACTGGTCAGTTTTCTAAATTTCCATAAACATATACAGCTTTAGGCAGAGCATCTTGAAAGGGCATCCTGAAAGAACATTTCTGGAGCTTTTTCTAGAGAAGAATTTGGCAAGATTACAGGAGGGCTGAAAAAGTATGTCTCAGAGTTTCAACTTTATTTCTCATGTTCTTTCTGTAAATTCCAAAATGCATTGTTTAAAACATGATTGGAAAAATACAAGAAAATTACTTAGTGTTTTCATTAAATATTATGCTATTATATAATACTAAGTTATAAGCTATTGTTTCTTCATTTCATCAGTCTCAATTCCATAAATAACTTTTTTTCTTTAAGTATTCTCAAACATTCATGGCATTATTTCAATGGTTCTGAAGTATTCAGATTGCAAGGTTCCAGTGTATCTGTACAGCTGCATATAGATAATAAAATTTTGAAACTGCAAAATGTCAGCATTAAAATGACAAAAAATGAGATAACATGATAAAAAAAAATTAGAAAACAATAATTTTTAGAAAAACAAAGAGCAACAAAAACAGCAACTTGGGCCTACTTAGTGTGTTAACCTTGTATCTCACATAAATAGCTGTCCTGAAACAAATGGACTTCATTTTGACAATAAAATTATAATAATTAGGAGAATTATAACTCAGTTCAAATCTATCATGTTCCTGGATTTTAAAAATGCAGTCATTCAGCTGCTAGAGTGACTGTCTATCTGACAGGTAGCATTTCTTCTAGCTTTATTCCTTTTAGTTTTATGTCTGCTCCCTAGAGGTTTATATTCATCTGTGGTTCATGAGAGAATGATGTGATTTTATAAAGTATTCATCAAAGTTGATTCATTTCTTCATAACGCTAATTTAATTCTCCAACTTAAAAAAATCTACTCAGTAATCTGAAAACTAAAGGCTAAGTGAAGAAGGTGAGAAATCTAAAAGAATAAGCTGCATAACACTTTTGAGAAAATATGGAATTAATCAGAAATTGTGAAGTCATTATGTTAAAACTCTTCACATTTTGGTACACCAATAATATATTATCACATCATTACTACAGAATATTTTTAAATTAGTGTTTTTTTCTGGCATCATACAGTTCAAGAATTTTTAGTACAGCAACTTATATGAGAAATTTATGAAAAAAGGAACAATTACATTTTTTATTACAATTTCACTTCCCCATTCAAAGGAAAACAGGAAGAAATTCCTACATTTCTCTATTTTTCCCTCTCTGGATTATTTTTTTTGCTTATAGTATTGTGAGCAGCTCATTACTTGCCCAGTACTGTTGGCCATGGGCTAAGAAATTGTCAGGCTTGATGTAAGGAATGCAGATAGAAATTGCAGTCTTGGATGTAATTACACAGTCTGTTGAGTGTCCCCTGTAGTAGTCACTTCTGTGAGAAAGTAGAAACAGTAAATTTTTCTATAAGTGTCTGCAAACATTAAGAGGAGCTTATGATACTAATATTTTCACAGTGATGGGTACCAGAAAGAGAAATTACAAATCTAAATTACTATGGCCCTTACCTGAACAGAGATGAGTTATATGTTTCTGTAAAAGGTATGGTACTATCAGGACTGTAATATTTTAATTGTCTAACCCAGGATAGTCAGCATGGTGCGGCACTATGCTATATATTGGTAGTCTGAGAAAGAGAGATATTGCTGGAACCACACCCTGCTTTTCCTGGGTCAGACCTGCCAAGCAGACAGAACACCATGTGAAGGATTCCCTATCCTCACTCTGTTCCACTTCACTGAATGCCGTGACTTCAGGGATCGGGGAGAACGGTGACAAGTTCCTGCCCAGTCCTGCAGGTGCATCTGTTCCATGACTACCTTGCTGTCACAGGTGCCCTTGCAGGGGAGGTGCTGATCTCCCCTCTCTGCTGATTTGCAATAGGACACAAGAAAATGGAATGGAACTGTGTCAAGGGAAGCTCTAATTAGACATTAGGAAAAGGTTCTTAATCAAGAGATTGGTCAGTCACTGGAGCAGGCTCCCCAGGAAAGTGTCAGAGTGTCTCTTGAATGCTTCTCTTAGTCATATGGTTGAGTTGAGAAGAAGGAAGTTGGACTTGATGACCCTTATGGGTCCTTTCCAACCCAGTATATGATATGATTCCATGGTAGAATTTTCCACCAAAAATACATCTATATTTTTAGAGAATGATGGGTCCTTTCCAACCCAGTATATGATATGATTCCATGGTAGAATTTTCGATAAAAATACATCGATATTTAAATGCACTCCTTGCACTCCTGCTACTATTGGTACATCCAAGTTCAATAGCTGACTATCAATCAGGTGTGAAAGCTGGACCACTAGACAGACACATAAACATACCCAAACAGTGTTTTTTTAAGATATCCGTTTATTCAAACCAACTGCACTGAGAAAGATCTTTATATATAAAAGTAGGATTGGTGAGTGGCAATAGGAAAATGGGGTGAAAAGAAGAATAAAATACATGCCACTTTCACTATCAAAGGTGAAAGAAAACCTTGTGCACATAGATAGTGCAGATAGAGATCAGATGTGATGCCTCTTATTGGAGGACACAACACTGGAACAATTCTCTTTGTTCATTGTTTCCAGTTCCTGTGGAAGTTGTCATAATCTTTTATATGTATTTTCACCACACAAGTGATGTTTAACAGATAGTAAATATTTACTCTTTTTTTTCCTTGTTATACTTTAAATCCGTATCAGTCTTTAATATGACTACTAACTTACAACTTGTACCTGTGCCTTGTATTTATGTTATGCTGTGACTGTGTTCTCAAAACCTTGGCCGTCACCTGGTGACTGGATTCTCTGTCCTGGTGCTGAATATCAATGTTTCAAATGGGCTTAATCTTATCTCTACTTTAAGAAGTCAAAAAACCCCCAAAAGTCAATTATTCTGCAGTTTTGCCACTGTGTTGTCTACTTCTACACATCTGTACTGCAGCTACAATGGCGAGGTGTTCATATGAACCTTGTATGCACTTATCTGGATCCCAGAAAGAAGACAAACATGGTATCACATCATACAAAGAAAAGAATGAAATGCTTATATACCAAATACTTGAAGTGATTGAAATCTGTGCACCCTTGGAGTACAGGGTTTGCTCCATCCTGAAGTTCCCTGTACTAGAAGGAATAATATGGTGATCAGGATGTCAGAAAAAACACTATTTAGTCTTTATCTACTCCATATGCCTCCATCCATAAACCTTATCAAGTCATGATGTAGCCATACACCAGCCTCTTTCAGGCCACAACAGCAGTTTTGATTTCTTCCTCCGGCTGTGGTACTAACCAGACAGACACCAGAGGATATGGCTATTTCTGTTATCAAATAGAGTGTCTTGACAAAGGCCCATAAATTCTCTGTTGTCTTGTTCCTCTTTCTTTTGTTGCTTATTAAACATTGAAAAGGCAGACATAAATGGGCCAACTTCAGGATCTCGCAGCTGGGTCGATATCCGAGAAGACAACTTACTCTCCTGAAGTCTTTGTGCTGATTACTGGATTTTCATCTTCTTTCACTTTTTCCTTTCCTTACTTTCAGAGTTTGTGACCCAGAATATTCTTATGATTTTTATGACAGTTTTCTGCTCTGTACATCATATTTTTTACCTATCTCTTTCTGCTCATTTGGAGATTTCTTTTCAGAACTGCAGATAGTCTATTTTCCTCTAGATGGATTTTCCTGTGGATTTTGCCTATTAGTGTATTTTAGAAAAGTTTTCAGAACTTTCTATTTGGATCTCTTTTTATATATTTATGTATCTTCACAGCCTATATATTCTATAATCATTCCTTATCCTTATTGCATCTTGTAACTTTTCTGCTTCTAAATTAGGGATATCAATATATGATTCAGAAGACGTAACCTCCTTTTGCCTTTAGATGTGATGTACAGAGTGCCCTGTTGGTCTGTCATATCTACCTCTTGTTATATATTTTTCTTTCTCTTTAGACAGCAGTAAGAGCTGCTTAACTTTTTACCTTGTCTTCTTCTATACTGGCTCATTAGTGCTATTCACCAGTTCCCAATGCTTATCCTCTCTTCCATGGGATTCATCTTACAACACTTCCTTCTGGTTTCCTACTAACAAAGATATTTCAAAATCTTTTTTTCATATAAAGTTCTCTCAACAAACCCTTTTGCATCTTCTGACTTAGGACATTTCAAAAACCCAAATGAGGAATTTTTTGATTTTTTTTACAGAGTTTTATTTCACTCTGCACACAAATCCTGCCATTAGGAGATGAATCAAAAAGTTTAAAAAAACCCCAAAAACAAAACAAAAACCCACCAAGCTAAAACATTATTTTTCCTTAAAAAGGAAATCTTAAAATAATTGACATTACCCACTCCTGTGTTTGTTTGCAACTTATTGTTTTCTAAGTTACAGGACTACCTTATAGTCCAAGATCTTTCTGACATTGAGGTCTCTTAACACGCAGCCCTTTTCAGTTCTTTTCTGTATTTTGCAGCTTGAAATAGATTATTTCAGAGGAAAACACGTGCCATTATCTCTGGGGAAAATAGGTGTCATTATTTCCTGTCTTTTCCACTAAAAAGATCAGAAAATTTCTATTAATTTGGCTTGTTATTTGTATGGATAATTTACTGTAGAGGGTACTTGCTCTAGTTAAGTATCACATAACTCAGCTGGGAGTAAAGAAAATAAAACCTAAGTTTAGAATCCAGCTCTACAGTGGATATTTTGTGGATTCCTTTTCCTAGATAATTATTTCCAGTGGTTTTGATCTAATATGTATGCATCATAAATGAATTGTGAGGTCAAAGTCATTAATACTTGTATTGTGCTTGAAGATGCTTGCAGAAAACAGCAGCAAGGGCCAAATATATTAATTACTGTTATAGTCCTAGACTCTAGGGAAAGTCAAACACCACAATTAAAGTTATGTTAAAATATGCCTTCTGAGAACTACAATAATCTGACAAAAGACTGTTTGTTTCTGGGCCAAGTTTACCACTGTTGAATTCTACTTCATGGTATGTAAAATAGGCAATTATGCAAGCAGAAAATAACAGAATTCACTGGTGTGTTACTAATAACATAGATGGTGCCTTATTCATAGATTCATAGTATGGCTACAGTTGGAAAGGACCTTAAAAGTCTTCTAGGTCCAACCCCCCTGCCATGGTAGGGATGTCACCTACTGACCTCATTGTTCAGAACCCCATCCATCCAGGCCTTGAACGCTGCCAAGGATGGGACAGCTAAAGCTTCTCTGGGAAAGCTGTTCCAATGCCTCACCACCCTCACAGTAAATTTGTTCTTTATATCTAATCTAAACCTAATCTCTTTCAGTTTGAAGCACTTCCCCCTTGTCCTATTACATGCCCTTGTAACGTGTTCATCTCCCTCTCTCCTGTATGTAATCACTGCCTCCTTTATGCACTGATAAAGAGTTCGGTTTAGGCTTTAAATTCTGAAGGTCAAAGACCAGCTTCATCAGAAGCAACGTGTGACTATGTAAAGGACAGAGCAAGATCTAAACCAAGTGATGATCATTAAGTGATCCCTACACTGTAGTTTTTAAGTCCTGGCATAACTGATCATCTTCAATGCCTTTGGATTTCTGGTCCAGGTTTCAAACCAAAACAAACAATTCATTTGTTTTACTGAGCATCAATGGTCTTCAGTGTACTGAAGCAAAGAAAAACCAGCTGGTGCCTTGACAGCTGATGTGCAGAATGTAATTGATACACTGATAGCACTACTCCTGTTCACTCCTTGATGTGGCTTCTGTCAGGTTTTTAAAGGAATTGCTGATCCCCCTGTGGAAGCCTAGGGAGCACATCTATTTTCCTCTCATAGCAAGGGCTGAGATCAAAGGGGAGTTCTGCATCCTGAATAGCACTTGGAAGTGTAGTAGTGCCCTTGCACTTCTCCTCCCAGGTACCTGACCCATAAAAGCCAAAGAGCTGAGGTAACATTAAAAAGTAAAGTTCAGCCTTACTGCATTTGGGTAATAGAGTGTACATTGTCCTGATCGTAACCCACCAATTGCACAGTGTGATAGTGATGAAATTAAGGAGCAAAAGTCTCTTTTCACAGACTTTAAAGGGAATAAGTACAAGTCTACACTTTCCAGAAGTTTCTGATTTTTTTTCAGAAGTTCCAGAGGTTTTTTTGGGGGTGTATGTATGCAGCCATGTTTGTTCCAGCTGGAGAGAAGCATAGATGATATAATTTGCTCTGTTTCATGTGCATGTGCACTGAGAGTATTAATTAATATATTCATTATGACACCCAAATAAGAAAATAGTAACTGTTAGATACATCTTATTGCATTTAAAATTTAATTTTTCAAAATATATTTTAAATTTATTAAACATTTACTTCAGTTTCCTTCCAAATTATTCTTCAAAATTGATTTTCCTTGTATTTTTAAACTAAAATGGAAGTCTCATACAATTGACCTATTTATAAATATGTCTAGTTTCACAAAAGAAGGAAATGTGAAAACTATAAAAAAGAAATTATTCAGTTACATGTAATACAGACAAAGTATTTTCATGTATTTACAATGTAGAAGTTTCTGATTAACATATCAGGCTCTTGTGACAGATGTCTTGATTATGACTGTTCTCTGTTGTTATGGATATGAAATGGAAGAGTTGTAAACTTTACTTGCACAATTCCATGTTGGTCAGTGTACTCAGTGGCTTGGGGGTTTTTTGCCTTTTTTTAACGTGCAGCACTTCAGTTATTGAACATGATTTGTCCTGTCCTTCTTTTACACAACTGCTACTTCAGGTAAGGTATTCTTTAGGAACAAGTACACATTCTAGTACTGCAGTTTCTCTATAGTAGTAGGATGGTCTGAAAGCGCATTTCAGAATCAAGACAACACTGTTCAGAACTTAAATATATTAAACAGAAAGACCTATTCACCTTTTAGCAGAATAGTTATATAGACATATATCTACACATGGAGTTCAGCGTGGCTGAAGACATGAGACATTTGTGAATGATAGAGACAAAGCTTTTAGAACAGACCTATCATCCCCATATTCTTATTTTTGAAAAAAAGTTCAGATTTTCGCATTCAGCCATATTCTAGATGGTTACCAAAACAATCTTTAATACAATAGAAAGTTATTTTCTCTTAATTTCTTTATACTTGTATAGCAATTTTTATCTTTTAAATTTTATTTTATGTTTGAGTCTTTTGTCTGTTCATGATTCTTTCCAATTCATGATTCACACCATTTTAATAGGAATATTATAACCAGGAATATGCCCATTTTGCCTTCTTAATGAGAAGCCAGTACTTTTAGGGACTCACTGAAACAAGTATTTCGATTCTCTAGCAGTTGAAAACTGAACATTTCAGAGAACTAATCTCTGTTTCAACAGTTAGGCACATGCGCATTCCCTTGATATTGGTGCTAGGATTGAACAATTTACTTGTAAAAAGCGGGTTTGTTGTCCTGACCTAAAATCCCAAATAAATGGAGAAACACCATTTACTTTTACTTGTTTTTCTATGTATGTTAGAGTAACTATGTAATATAGACAGACAATGCAGATAATGCAAGGGAGTAAATAGTTGTGCCAAGGGTCCTGGATATACAGGTGACTTTTTTCATATTTGGTAGGGAAAATAATTTTGAAAGAATTAGGATAAAAGGAGAAACAAGTTTTGAAGTCTTCTCATCCTCAGATTAGCCCGTGGCTGGCCAGTCATGTGCTTGTGATGATTGTTTTTCCTTTTTTTTTTTTTTCCAATTTTTTCCTATATACTTAAAATAGTGTCTGCACTTTATGGATGAACAATAGGGGGATCTTTGTTCATACTTTGTTTCTGTGATGGAAAAGCTGAACAAGATGTAGAAAATGTTTTGATTGTGGAAAAACTGTCAGTGGTAATGGCAAACATTTCATGTTTTAAATGATTGATATATTCTACTAAAATTTAGAGAATGTCTTTAAGGTTAGGAAATTTTCTGTAATCTAAATAAGTAGCAGATTTCAAAGTTCATATGACAGTGTTTCTTCTGGTAATATATGTCTATAGTAACACTTAGAAAGCAAGGACAACTGATGACTTGTTTTTCACAAGTTCCAGTTACCAGTTTAATAATCTTTTTCTGTCATGTTCCTGCATGTGTAGTTTCATATCATCCCGATATCATTGAACAAAATAAAATAAAAATAAAACAAACAACAAAACACCTCAAACCCATTCTAGGCAATGGAATGAAGGTATTTTATTCCACTAAAAACAACATCTTCTGCAAAGAGGATGTGAATACATGAAATTACTGTTGCTAGGCAAGGATAAGAATTCAGCTCAGACATTGTTTACATTTTCTTATTAAAACTTAATCACACTTGTGGGATTAAGGAAGTTTCTTTTCAATTTATGCAGAAGGAGACCTGGAATAAGGAAGAATGTACCTAATGTTGACTAGAAGATCAAAAATAAATTTGGAAAATCCAATCAGTATTAGCTTAAATTTTCTTTGGTGTCTGTTGGAATGGAAATTGATGCTCTGACATTTCCAGATAGTGTCACATGCAACTAAGTTGGCTTTGGATGTTTCAGGTACTTCTGTGGTCCAAGTTACAGCTACTGATGCCGATGACCCTTCATATGGAAACAGTGCCAGAATAATTTACAGCATACTTCAAGGGCAGCCATATTTCTCTGTGGAACCAGAAACAGGTAATGAAAAATTTAATTATTTTCATTTACCCTAAACTTTAAACTTTTTCTTTCATTTAAAAGACCTTAGATCACATAAAAAATGTAATTAAAAACGAAGAGCATTTCTTGCTTTTTCTCATGATTTATAACTTTTATAATACATATAAAAACTCAAGACATCTGAAATTATGAAGTATAAGTAATTTCACAGTGGGACTATTTATTGCTTAAGATTTAAATAACAACATTTCTGATAAAGGCAGGAATAAAGGTTTTTTCCTTAGGAAATATTGAGGTTTTTTTCCCTAATGATTCTACTTAGATTAATAAAAGGTGTTCTTTCTCCTAAACCTTTGGCACAAGTATCTTGAAGCATTTTTAGCATGAAACTGGAAAAGTACCTGTGTTGTAAAACAATACGCAACCAAGACATAGCCTGTAACAAAGACTACTATAAGACTACAATAAAACTTATGGACAGAAATTTGTACTTTGAAATATTAAGTGAATATTTTAGCGATTTATTTAAAGACTAATATAAAAAAAGATGTGGCAGATTGCTGCAGATAAGCAACAAATACATTATTAGCGATTCTGTTTTCCAATTTATTTCTTTTAGGAGTCATCAGGACTGCATTGCCGAACATGAACAGAGAAAACAGGGAGCAATACCAAGTAGTTATTCAGGCAAAGGACATGGGAGGCCAGATGGGTGGATTATCAGGGACCACCACCGTGAACATCACACTGACTGATGTCAACGACAATCCACCTCGCTTCCCCCAGAGTAAGCTGCATTTAATAGTTGACTTGTGCAGTAAGAGTTAAGCAATCACCATCTGGTTTAATTTAGAGTAAATCTAGATTATGGGGGACTCATAAACAAAAGGCTTATGTGCTGATTATTATTATTAAAGCAGTACATTAAATGTTAAAGCATTTTATGTTTTGTTAGGAAACAGTTACATGATGAAATGTAACTGCAGTAAACCTGGAATTCCTCCCAGGAATATGGGGAGCAAATAGTAGGTGGACTCGTAAGAGCATTAGAGCAATGTTTTTGCTTTCCTTACCTATTGCTTAAATCCTGCATGCTCTCCCACTGGAGAATAAAACATGTTGTAATTCTAGATACTCAGAAATGTTTGAATTGAGGTATCTGCTTAAATATTTAATCATGAAGAATGTGGAAAAGAAATTACTCAAAGGGAATCAGACAGATTTGTACTTTTCCAGCTACAGAGCTACAAAACAACATAGAAAAAATCCCAAATTAAAGCAAATTACGTTTAACTTTTTTATGGTTTTTTACAGCTTTAGTGAAGGTTTTTATAATGCATTTTGCCTTTTGATAATACTGCTGTCAAGACTTTGTATCCTCAAACGAAAATATAAAAATATTCTTGGTCTCCATCTGATATGGAAATATTAAACTATGAAGCATTGAACTTGAAACAGTTAAGCATTTTAAATACATTTGAAGCCTTTTGCATAAATTGAAGTTGCAGTATTTGCACGATGATTTGGATTTACTTAATACATAAAGTATTTAGAGTATCCTCACCACACACTTTATAGACTCTGTATAATTCTACTCAATCCAGTAGTTACTGATGCACTCTTCTTGATCAAAATAACAGAATTAGCTTCAAATTATGCTCTTTATGGCAGAACTGGAGTACCTAATTATGCTCAATTTAATACTGAAGTTAATATATATGCGTTCAGCTAAGATGTTTATTAGTATGTAATTTCATACACACACTTGAAATAAAAAAAGTCATACATCATTGAGTAAGTAGAATTTGTGCATTTTCTAAGGTCATATTCTGAACGGAATTTATTGTTAATTTATAATTTTTTTTTCATTTTTCCACAAATTTTTTATTTATTATTTTTATTGTTTCCATTTGTGTATAGAAGATTGTGGTATTTCCACTGTTGTGTAGGACAGGAATGCTGTATTACTCCTCTCTGGACACACTGAAGAAGACTATTCAAAGAGGTGTCATGTTCAAAGCCTTACAGGAAAAAAAAAAAAAAAAAAACCAGACTTAAGACAGCATAGAAGCTTCAAAAGTGCATATTTATACTTTTTTCTCTTTTTTCTTGTTTCTTAAACAGCATGTTAAATTAGAAGTTAGAATGATGGAATCAACTTTCTAGACTATTTTAACATGACTTTTCTGGGATTCCAACATAATATTTGAGATAGAGAAGGATTTGATGTAGCATCTCTGTATTTTTCTTTAATGTCAGTTTAAATCAGATGTGTCATTTGCTTTAAAGAAACTTAATTTTGCTCTCATGGGCTTTTTTTGTTGTTGTTTGATTTTTCTCTCTATTTTCTATCTGCCAATTTCTTTGTTAGATATAAATGCATGTTTCATTGGAGATGGAAACTAAAACATTTATAAAGATGACATATTTGACTAGATATATGAAAGTAAAAATAGCTATTGACTTTAAAAAAAACATATATTTAACCTCAAAATGGAAATAGACATTATAATGATTCATGATTTTAAAATAGTTCAATGAGACTGCTGGAATTGAAATTGATTAAGTTAAATTATCTTTATTCTATTCCAATAATAAAAAAGTCAGATGTATTAGGTTAATGAAACAATAATATTCATATCTGATTTATAAATTATCAGGCTAAGTATTAGAATGCCCATTATGTTCCCACAGGACTCAGCATATTACAGCTATATGTTTCAATAAAATGTTTCATATCAGCTTATATGTCACCCATAAGAAACTCATATTAAAATTGTGGAGAAATTAACATAATGTATTGTATCATACATTAAAAAAATACATATAGAAGAACTCCTAATTATCCTGTTGTTTACATATTGAAGCAAGGATTCTTTAGAATATTTTTCTCTTCTTAAAAATATACTAAAACCCACATAGATAACAGTGGTGATGAAAACTTTTTCAAGGTGAGGTCTTCAAAGACCTCATACACTGGATCTTTGTTTCAACTATAATATTTCCAGGTGTTCCAGAAGAAAGGAGATAGTGTTGATCAGTGATAAACGCAAAATGTGATTTATGGACTTAGAAGCCTGAGTCTGAATGAATCTCAGTGGACCTGAATTATGGCAGCCCATGTATCCTGTGGGACTATAGCCTGTAGTACTTTATAATATTTGCCCTTACATTATAAGCCTATTCAAGAGTGAATGGAAGAAGGATAAATGGAAAAATGAGATTGGTTTTTCATTCTTTATGACTGACTGAAGTATTTGCAATCCCAAGTGTGTAGACTTTAATCCTCAAGCTGATTTCTGCTCTCCTTAGTATATGGAAAAGTATTCCTTTCCTTGATCCTCCCATTTCTTTTCCTGACAGACAAATGAAAGGACATCATTCACTGGAGTAAATGCAAAGAGTAAACTACTTTCCTTGAGAAAAGGGAAATAAGATTTACAGCAGAGTTTTGCAAGGATGAATCTACTTTGGTGTACTTTGTATTCTGATACAGTGTCCAAAGCTGCACGGCATCCCATACTTAGTCAATGCGTTAAATGTATTCAGTAACAAAAGGAATAAAATTAAGTGTCTCATACTGTGGTGGAGATTTCTAGAAACGGATAGGCTAGATTAAAAATCATCTTTTAGATTATAAGTTTCTGGTTATTTTCCCTCTCTGTTTCCACTACCTTATTAGCAATTAATTATATGAGCTCTTACCACTTTATAGACTAAATAATGACTTGGGTATTGAACTGGGAGTCAAAGTAGTGTCCACAAGGCATAGGGGTATAGTTTTGAGTGCTGAGGAAAAAAATATGTGGTGAGTAGTTGACACCTCATAAAAATAATTATAACATATTAATTTGGGATAAAAAAAAAAGTCTTTCACCATAGTCTCCTATAGTGCTGCTTAAGTACTAAACTGGGGATAATTTCTCTTTTGCTTTTTTTTAATTAGGTGATTACAGAGTGATTCTCTACTAGCGAAGTGCACGGGTTTAGATATTAGAGAAAGGTAATGAAAATATTAGAGAAAAGGCAGGATAAAATGCTCAATTGAACATCAAAATGTGACTGAACAAAAACAAACATACATGAATAGAATGTGGGTGTACATGGCCATAAAAAATTCATTCTGCTGCTATATGTCCGTTTCATAATAAAATATGCTTAAGTATAATTATATTAAGAAATTAAATTTAAATATTTCAATATTTTTCATTCAGTGTTTAATTGCAAACTAAATGTGAATGGTTTTTTTTTTCAATTATTGCATTTTTGCTTTTTTAGGTTTCTCAAGTGGGAACATAATAACATAATAGAACAGAAAAAAATAACTCCATAGAAGCAGAAAAAATCCCTAATGACCCAAAAAATAATAGGGTTTTTTTTGTAGCAAGTGTCACTCTGTAGCTGGCTTATAATACACCAATAATCCTGAAATGACTCATGCTTTCCTGAGTTATGATAAAAACACATTGCCAGTGACCTTCCCATACAGCCATGCCAGTCTCTCCCCATGATTCTTCTTGATTGCACAAAACTAATATGCCCTTAATGGACTTTTCTGTACTACTTGTTTGGGGAATGTATTTATGTGTTGCACTTTTTGTGCAGCCTGTTCAGCTTTTTACTGTTGTGGTTGCTGCCCTTTACCATTTCCATTTTTGTGTTATTTCAAGCATACCTCTAACTCCTTTAACTTAGGAAGTCTCTCAGTAGAACAGAAAATCTTGAAAAACTTAACAAAGGCCATAGAAGAAAATGTTTTCCAAGAGAGATTTGATGAGTTCACTTTCATCTTTGGAATGACAACTGTAGATGCATTAATTTTAAAATACTTTTTCTGAGAATTCTTCATAGCGCATTATGTCCCCCCCGTGTTTTTCTAGTGTATGTTCCAACAGATGGGATCAAATATCTCAATGCTTATTTACAGTTTTCACACTAAGGCTAGGACATAGAATGCTAAAATATATGGTAAGATACTTATTTCAATTTACTGCAGGATGTCTGAATGATGACAGTTTTATTCCTATGTATTTTATCAGCTGTATGACACTACCATAAAGGGATATAACTGAGATAAGAAAAGTAGCACAACCTAAGAATTGTAATATTCATAAGCCTATTTAAGTCTGAATTAACTGCTTTAACAAGGCACAATTTCTGCTTGTAGATTTCTAGAACACCTCCCCCTGCATTAATGTGTTATTCAAATTTATTTAATATGATATCTTACTATCTAATTTTGAAAGCTGAAATGTCAGCCTGTTGCATAGAATTGGCCAGCAAAATCAAGAAATTCTATTCTTGTTATTGTTTCCATGATAAAATACGTATAATATATATCTCAAAGATTGCCCTTAGATATTAAGGGGTAAAAAAGAAGTGTGAAACCTGGCAAGCACACTAAGCAGTCTTTCTAGGTGATATTTCAGGAATGAAAGGGAAACAAGGACAAGAAACTTAAAAGGAAAAGAAAGGCAAGATGAGTGCAGATGATTCTTCTCTCAGATAGAATAAAGGTCTTTCTCAACCCTGTTTTCTATGAATGTGTTTTCTACAATTTTGTTTTCAGTCTTCTATATAAAACTTTCTTCTGGATAGTTCGCTCTGCGTTGTATTTTGTCCATTGTGTCAGTATTAAATGGCAAGTTCTCTAGAACAAAAGAATACACAAAATTATGATATCAGCTGTTGTGTCACACAGTGTTAGTTCATGCACATGTACCGGCTTGTGGGGGTCCTGAATGGCTCTTTGTCTCTTTGACAGGTACCATCCATCTCCGCATTCCTGAGTCCTCCCCAGTTGGGACAGCCATTGGCAGTGTTAAAGCCACAGATGCGGACACTGGGAAAAATGCAGAAGTAGAGTACAGAATCATAGATGGTGATGGGACCGATATGTTTGATATTGTGACACAGAAGGACACGCAGGAAGGCATCATCACTGTGCGAAAGGTGTCTATTAACAGTATTCACTAAATTATATTGATGACAATGTTATGTCACAAGCATTCGTTGTTTACATTATGTGATAACACATGCTAATTGCTTAACATTTGCAAGCAAGCCCCATCAGTGACTGAAAGGTACTATTTGCTTTTAAGATGAACAGGAAATAAAAGGTGGTGACCATATCTAAGATGCATCATAGGTTCAAAGCATTGTTGTAAGCAAAGGATGAAAAAGTGGACCAGTCCCAATGTGTTAGCACTAATTATCTCTGTGATTTCAAATGCAGACTTCTTATGTATTTCTATAACCTGTTTTCTTCAGCAAGCAATCAGCAGCTCACTCACTAATCAGAGACACAGCTTTTCCTTCTCTGTGAGATTCTCATCTACTTGGGTGAAATGAGATCTGTCTGCCAGAACACAGACATGAGATGCAAACGATACGGTTTTGTTCCGTTTCCAATGTGTGAGAGGGCTGCCACATGAGCAGTGTGTATGTAATGAAGGTGTTGTTCTTGGTTCAGAGCTAGCTTCAGTTCTGCCCTCTGTCTTCCATTGTCATAGCATTTTCAGATGCTTGTCTTCTAAGTCCAAGATCTCACAAGTAGAAATGCCACTCTCCTACTCCTCAAAAATTTCCCTTCCAGAAGTCCCTTGGTCCTTGTCTTTGGGACTTTGAGATGAACTTCAAAGAGTTCAGGCACCATTTTTAAGATAAATCACTGTTTATATTAGCTTTCCAAACAAATGTCCTTAAGCACAGAATAATGAAATAAACAGTGATACAAAAGATACCTTCACATCTCTTGATAATGGCAACCAAGGAAGAGAGAAGTTCTCTCTTCCTTGGTTGAAATTGAAAAGGAACACTCTGCAAAGAGTGTTCCTTTTCAATTTCTGTGTTTTATTGTGTTCATAGTCAGTGTAGTTTTTTATCTGGGAAAAAAACCCAAAGTTTGAGGTCTTATATTTTTTCTTTTCCTAGTTTGTGAAGGCTTCTCTTGAGATGCTCTTTTCTTGCTTGCTTCAGATTTTCACACAATTATATTAAATCAATAGCATCTTGAAAAACAAGTCTAGTAGCTGAATCAAGCTCAAGAAATTTCCTAAATTATAATACAGCGGTTCCAAAAACGTCAATAAATACTAATGAACAAGATATTCTGATTCTGTTATTAACAGTCTGAAAGAATTTGCATTTTTCAGGATGCTCTCTCAGTCATGAATAAGTAGTTTATTCAATACCACAGACAACAGCACTAACAAGCAAGGAAGGAGATGAGAATGCTGAGTTCATTGATTCATTAAAATAGTCCCTTTTTTTTGTTGTTATTTACCCACTTTGATTGTAATTTCTGCTTTCAGTGGTGAATAACTACAAATAGCTTGTGTTCCTTTACAAAGCCTGCAAGTTATTAAGTCTGAATTTATTATGTTTTGTAAAATAACTTTTTCTATACAAATTTTTCTATACAATTTCTCACAGACAAAATAATTGATTTTCCACAATTTCATATATTTGAGCAAGACTTTTCTTCATTACTGTGGATGTGCTGGAATGCCTGTATAATCCACATGTTTCATAAACATGTTTTTTGCACTGTAGGTGGAAAAGATGCCCAAATTGGATGTGAATGTTATAGTAGCAAGTTTATATATTCATGGTGCACATTCTGCCAGATTAAACCAATTAGAATAAGTCAGGACAACCATGTCTTCTTTGCTTTTAGGATTGAAGCCAGTGTCCCTTAACAGCTGAATGATACACTTTACAGACACAGCAATAGCCTCAGATCTAGGTTAAATAGTTGCTTTTCTCATTTGTATTCATAGATACTCTCCCATCTGCTCTGACTACTTTTTTAAAACAAGTCTGGGGCAGTGGGGAAACTCATTCTTTTGCTGGACTGCATCTTTCTGCTTTTGAATAGTGTATTTAAATATCTAACCTGTCACTTTGGCATCTTTAGTGAACATTAATTAGTATTTAAAAGCAGCTAGGCAGAAAAAAATAAGCCATCAACCACCCATTTTGATGAATGAAAACCACCAGTTCTATATCTCTCTGAGAATCTGTGGGAGTTAATAAAGTCTTCTTTGTGTCAGAAAGGTAGATTTTCAGGTTGCTCATTTCCTTAGAATCATTAATTAGCTAACACTTTTCATCTATGACAGCTAGAAAAATTTGAAGGAATAGAATTATTTTCTCTCCAAAATGATTTCTAATTATAACTGTGAACTGCTCCTCCTCCCATTTGAAAAAGGAACTGCTGACAAAAATGTCAAATATATTTAAAAAAAAAAAAAACCCTCTGATGTCGGATTCATTAAATTAAATGAAAAGGAACAAGATTAAACCCCACTGTTTCTCTAAATATAGAGAGCTTTGACACGTACACCTTCCTCAAAAGACACCTAAAGTATTCCTGATATTTAAGGCCTGCTATATGGGCTTGACAATAGGAATACTCTGGTCATTTTGATTATCCAAGAGTTTACAGAATTTCCTATGAAACATTAGTGTTAAGTACCTTGTTCTGGAATGTTTGTATTTCCAGTCAGTATCTCATGTGTTTTACACGGGTATATGATTGTTTCAAATCCATATTCTCGTGAAACAGCTGCAGAATTCCCTGAATAATTGGTTAATTTCTATTGAAAATCTTGTTGTCATTCATGCTGAGATAATTTAACTAATATACAGGAAAAGATACTTCTTCTAAAAACAATGTTATTTCTTATTAGACAAAGTGACTCCTGTGGTGGGGAAAATATTAACTGTGTTGGTGTTCCCACAATGCAGGGGCAGGATCTAATAAGGCTTGAGCCCTCTTCAGTTTCCATTATGTACATACGTCGACATCTGCCAATATGTAAATCAAATTTAATAAAATTTATCATAATTTTCATTTTTAGCCACTGGACTATGAGACAAGACGACTTTATACTTTGAAAGTAGAAGCTGAAAATACCCATGTGGATCCCCGTTTCTATTACCTTGGGCCTTTCAAAGACACAATTATTGTGAAAATCTCTGTAGAAGATGTAGACGAACCTCCTGTTTTCAGCAGGTCTTCTTACCTTTTTGAGGTGCATGAAGATATTGAGCTGGGGACAATAATAGGAACAGTAATGGCACGAGATCCTGATTCTGCCTCAAGTCCAATAAGGTAATACTTCAGTGTCTGTAAACACATTATTTGCTAAAGAAATTAAGATAAATAGTAATACAACATTAATTTCACATAGAGGTTTTTTCTATTATTTATTAGTGTCCCAGAGATAGACAGAATTGAGAATGGTGCTATCTGTAAACCTAAAAATATGTCAGGCAACAACAATTTACTTGCACACAAGAGACACTCAAAAATATTTTCCAGTGCCACAATTCATAAAAACTTGATTTCAAGTAGGCCCATCAGGATTGCTTTTTACTTTGCACTGGGAAAAGCTTTTAGAGTGCTGATGAAACAAGTTCTAGTCTTCAATAAAACTAACATCATGTATGAAGTAAAATGAAATGCTTACCATGTAAGCCAAACAGTCTTAAATATAATTTCTCTAGAAAATAGCAGGATTTTGTTTTATTCTAGTTAAGAGTTATTAAAGTTAGTGAGTAGTAAAAAAAAAAAAACAAAAACATTTGAGTAAGTCTTTATTGCACTATCAGAAGTTTTCATTGGCTGTTCTAATTTCCTTTTTTTGGTTGTTTTTATTATGTTGTTTCATTTTGTCGTTGACTTGTTTATTTGGGTTTTATTTGTTTGTCTTTCATTTTTAGTGCAATTGTGTGTAGTGGAGTGAACAAACAACAGTGACCAAAACTGTATAGATGCTATTTTCATATGATAGCATTTTTTTATTTGGCTTAATTTAGTTAAGTACTGTAAATGAAACCAGATGCACTTGATGAACAGTTTAGATCACTCATAAATTTTCATAGAAACATAAACATTTGTTTCTATTGTACTATACAAGTGTGCTATTTAACTTTTCAAAAAATTTGGCCCAATTCTGACACATATTCTAAAAATCATTCTGTATTTGGCAAAATCCTACATTTAATTCCAAATCAAAGGTTCAATTATAATTTGAAGGCAATATTAAATATAAAAAAAACCCAAAAAAACAGGAAACTGAAATTTTCTGATACTAGTTTGACACTACCATAGCATGTTAGTGGACATCATGCCTGCCAGAAGTGTAGCAACTATAGAAATATAGAAGGTCTTTTAACATCTATACATGGAAGTTCTGCATGGGGACCTATTTTTATACAAGTTGTTTTGTTTTGTTTTGTTTTTATCTTGATCCCTAGTGAATTAATACAACCTGAATAGTAGAAGCTGAGCTTATAGCAATACTTTTGAACAGCCTGTAAATTAGCTGTCAGTCTCAGTCTGAAGAAACAGTATATCAAAGATCATTTTCTTTTTAGGATTAAATTAATTCTTTAAGTAGACATTGAAGTTCTGATTTTTTAAAATAATTCTCCTATATTGTAAAAGCTCCAATTATCAAATATTACACTATTGTATCACATTCTTAAAATCCAAATTTTAATTCCTTGTTCTATGGAGCTAACCTTCAGAATTTTCAGAAGTATTTATAGAAACTAAATATGTCTTTCAAAACCAACCTTTGTAATATAGAACATAAAACCTGTAATGACTTGTGAAATATATGTTTTCTTTGACGTTTTATGATTTTGATGATACTTTTTATTTTGTTGTCATATTTAGGTTTTCTCTGGATCGTCACACTGACCTTGACAGGATATTTAACATTCATTCTGGAAATGGGTCCATCTATACTTCCAAGCCACTTGACCGTGAGATATCCCAATGGCACAATCTTAGTGTTATAGCAGCTGAGATTAGTAAGCTAATTTGGTTTTTCTTTTTCCTTTCAGTTTTCCTTAGCCTGTAAAGTTACAGCTGCAACTTTGTGATGAAAACATCTCCCCTTTATTTTCCCCTTGTCCCTTTATACTAGATGCTCTGGAAAAGTGAACTGTGGGGTAGCTAACAGCAGCTGTCTCCTCATTGTTCTTTTCCTCACCTACCTCCATCACTGACCTTTAATGTCCAAGTTACTTCTGAAGTGTCAGCCAATTGAATTATAAGACTGGAGTAATTCTTTTTATTCCTTTTCTTGGAGGACAACAACATGATTTTGCTGTTAAAATAGCCGAGTTTAGCATAGTAATCTATGTTTTTGTCTCTATTATTTTCTTCATTTCCTTAGAAATACTTTCATTATCTCTTCCTATGGTATTTACACCTGCAGCTCTTGGAATCAATATATCTTACAAGCTCTATTCAGCTTCATCCTGAAGCTGTAGCATTTCTTGGACCATTTAAAACACCTGTCTGTGGTTATTTTCATTTTAAGAGTATAAAGAGAAGAGCAGATATCCTCCTAAACTTACTACATTATTGAGTTACTATGCTTTAATCAATGGACAGAAAATTTTCTAAGGGACAAAGATCTGCTCTTTGAAATCAGCGGCTAAGAATCACTTCCTCTCAAAGTCACTAATTTTTTTAGGGCTAATTCTGTATCAGTTAAAAAAAAAGTAAGGAAAAAATACTTGTCAGCAGTGAAACGTGGCTGGCAAGACCTACACTGCAGAGGACTGAATGAATGGAACATTGTGTCGTGCCAATTAAACATTCTGTGTTTATAAAAAAAAAAAAAAAAAAAAAAAAAAAGGGGGGGGTTTTTTTTTTAAAAATTTTTTTTTCAAAATCTACTTTTTTTTTCTGCTTTGTCCTGAGCTTGCAACCATTCAGAGTACTGTCCAATGCTGTACAAATTATTTTCAAATTTATATAACGATGAAACTTAGCATCCTTGCATGAACTAGATCTTAGTGCTAAACATATCTCCTTGACAGGAAACTTAGAGCAAATTTACGTTGTGGACATATCTGGAGTAGCTAGTATTCTTCACAGAGATGTGAATTTTGGCGAAAGAAGTGAAGAGGGAGATTTAGATCTTTAAATATTTTTAAATGTTACCTATGAAGCATGACAGAATGAAAGCAGTGTTATAACTGATTTGGAAAGTTAGAACAAACATACAGAAGTCTATGAAAAACTGCATCCTAAACCTGGAAATCTAAATAATTCAGGATGTCGAAAAAGATCCACATCACACTCTTTAGCAAAGGTGTTACTAATAACAAGCCAATGTAATTCCAGCTGCTCCTAAATGTCTTTTGTTTTATTTAAAGCAGATGAAAGGGGGAGGGGGGGAAATCAGTAATTTGGAACAATCTGTTACTGTTGTTACTTATCCAATTCCATTAATGTTAAAAAATCATATGCTGCTTAGCTGACATGCAGCAGAATTCCAAGAAACGTCTGCATTTTTTACACCCAGACATTATTTATTATTTTTGGTATGGCAACAAAATCAGCAAGTGAGAACAGGGACACTTGTATTCCTGAATTAACCTATAGTAACAAAAGAGCACTCTAAATAATAGTAGTATCTTGGCACTTTGCAAGGAGGAGGTTATTCTTGTTTCTGAACCTAAGGTCTGAAAATCTACGTTCATATTTTTTAAGGCAATTTAAACATAAAAAATATTACTTTATAAATTCTTTATCAAATTTTTATAGGCTTTTTTTTTGTTGGAATTTCTTTGAGAGGCGAGAGAGAAAAGTCAGACTTGAAAATTTTTCAAAATACGTATGCATGTCCTCAATTAAATTAACTCTATCCCAGCCAAAACCAACACAATTCACAAATTATGTCCTTGATATCTTTTCTCTGTGAAACAAACTAGATATACAAAGAATTTTAAAATTAAAGATCAAAACCTTACAAAAATTGAGCCCACCAAGTGATCAGATTTCAAATTTGCTATTGTAGTAGTGGGCATACTTTTCATATACAGTATTTGAATATATTATTAACATTTGCAGCCCCCTATCTTCATGTAAAACTTAATTGCTCACTAGATGCCAATACTTCATTTTTTTTTTTTACTCCACACAAAAAAAATTCCTTATTTTTCAGAAGGCCTGATTCTGACTTGCTACTGGTTTGTAAACTAAATATTGACTAGATTCAAACTTCATCGTGCATGTGTATTGCTCATGAAATTTGGAAGAAAACAGAAAACTCTTAATAAGAAAACAATCTCATGTTTCTTCTCTCTTCTACTGTCAGACAACCCCAAAGATACTACTCGTGTTCCTGTCTATGTAAGAATTTTGGATGTTAATGACAATGCCCCACAGTTTGCAGTATTCTACGACACTTTTGTCTGTGAAAATGCAAGAGCTGGACAGGTATGCCTTTGATAAACACTTCCCACTATCCAGTTTTCCTAGAGAACTCAATTGTAGATCATTCCTGCCAATTGCTTAAGAAAAATCATATCTAAATTAGTTTTTGAAATGTTAAAAATGAAAGCAAAGAAGCTCTGTAAGTGAAGCCTAGAGTGAAATTTCAATATGTTACAAGTGCATCAGTTTTTCAATCACCACTTTTCCTTACTAACCTTGTACTGCTGTTAAATCCCGATGAGATATGTCCATGACATGGTCATGATTCACTATGCCTTTAATTTCACAAATCAGAACATTATATGTAACTAAAAAGTTTGATCTGTATTTTTAGTAATTCTCCAATAGCAAAATTCAGATATAATTCAATCCATGCAGACAGCGACTACAAACCAAAAATCTGTCACTTTTTTTTCAACTGTTAGATTCATCTTTCATTATCACACCAAAAATTTCTGTAAAGAAAACATACATTTTTTTAATGGCAACATAATATTTTCTTTTGCTTCTTAGAGGCTACACAGTGTGTACTTCAATTTAAGTGAAAAGACTGTACTGCGTAAGACCTAATGTCTAATAGGCAGTTGTTTATTAGAACTGTTTAAAAAATGTTTTCCTATTACACATCCCAGAGCATAATAAAGCCTTTAAAATGGTAGCAGTAGTACCTCAGTGCAACCCTTTCAGTACATTTGAACAGAATTTGGTAAAACTGCCAGCTTGTTTTAACTGCTGGAGTCCCACAGGGATAACATTCAGGTTGTATTGCAAATTTCGCATTCAGGTTGCCATTCTTCCTTCCAAAGTGACATCAGTTTGAACTTATAACAAAGAATTTGAGGCCCAAATTTATAATATTTATAAAATATCTAAAGGTACTGAGCAAGTGCATTTGTCTCCTCTGGCAGTTGCAAGAGAATTCAAGGTGTTAGATAAAGAGAAAGCACTGGCTAAAAATGTAGAATTTTGGACAGTTGAAGTGTCTACTATAAATGCTAAAATAATACTTTAATAATTTTTAATATGACATATGGATTAAGACTTGTAAAAGAAAAACATTGAATTTTCCTCTTCCAGTTTCACAAAAAAACCATCCTGTGTTAAAAAAAAAAAAAAAAAAAAAAGCATGAATCCACAAATTTTACTCATCTGAGGTTTCAGACTTTTTTCTGTGCAGGTTACTAGGTCTAGAGTGCACAGGAAATGTTAAGAGAGCAGTTCAATTTCCATGTAAATGTATTTTATGGAACAGTTTTTTCTGTGCTATCTAGACTATAAAAGTCAGTATAATTTAAAAGTAAATATAAAAGTATTTCAACATTGCATTGTTTTATTGCTTACAATCAGAATAGGCTGTCAGTTAAAAAGTTGAATAAAATAGCACTAATCATTTATAACTAATAAATGAGATGCTAAATAAGTTTACGTATCCACAAATCCTTATTTAAATTGTTATAGGGCTCAGTAGTGTCTTTATCAGAAAAAACCTGCCAAGGTTATCGAGAAGGCCATAAATATAAACATTTTTTACGAAAACTGAGTTGCAAATGATTGCTTAAATAAAACAATTCGCAAGAAGAGAAAAAATGTAATGCAGGATAACATGAATAATCTATTTGAATGTAATTATATTCTTCTTGTTTACTGGCAGCTCATAAATAAGACTTTTTATTTTTCGAATTCAATCTAACCTGAGAGAATGTAATCAATCCAAACTGAACATGGTTCTCTGAGCTTGATTCCTCCCACATTTCAGCTATTTTTCTTCCCTTTCAGGTTTTCATAATTGCATTTGATCCATGAAATTTATATCTATTAGGTAACTGAAAGTAATGATGCTTCATCAATCACAGATTCTGTGATATTTGTTTCATTATTTCCCATCTAAGACAGATATTATAATGAATATTATACTTTCCCATTTACTTAATTTGTACAGAAGCCTAAATCTTATACATACATATATATAAACATACACATACTACATATGATACCTAGAGGGCTGCACATAAATCCATGTATACAAACATACATATATATGCAAATATATAGCAAGAGAGAAATGTGACTTTTGTAGTCTGAATGACTCAAAGAGCCTGTGATGGTTTTCCTGCTTGCTATTACTGCTGATGTCAGATCGTACTGTGAACTTACAAACGATGCAAATATCCTATCTCAAAAATCTCAAGCTATACACAAGCAGCACCTCTGGCAGAATGCTATTTTGGTGGATGCTGTTCTTTTGACTCCTCCCAAAAATGAGGACAGTCTTGGTATGATGGCATAAAGAGGACACAGGCATTCGTGTGACCTACACAAGGCTGACTCAATAGGAGTTCCCTCAATATTCAGGGAAATAAAGCAGCAAAATGCTCAGACTGCTGCAGCCCTGCAACCAAAGAAGTTCAGCTGTCCTCTGCCCCCAGGTGAGAAGAGCCAGGAGCTGGGCATCCGGACAGATGGAATCCCACTGGTTTTGTCAGCTCCCAGCTGCCACATGTCTGGCAGCTCAGCTACCAGCCTCCAAAGATCCTCTAATGTAAAAGATAAGATCAGTTTAAAAAGCAGAAGTCAGTCGTGCTTTAGAGAGATCTTGCATGGAAGCTGAGTATAACTTTTCCATATATTAATTTTCCCTATAGTAGATCTCAGAAGAGAGGCCCTCTATTTGTAAATGATCTGCCAAAAGACAAGAAGGCAGGAGTTGACCTTGGTTGGGAGCCAAGTGCCCAATGAGCCACTTCCTTCCCCCTCAACAGCATATGGGGACAAAAGATGAAAAATAAATGGCTTGAGACAAACTTGCAAATTACCATCATTGGCAGAACAGACTCAGCTTCGGGAAAAGTGACTTAATATGCTGTCCATTAAACATGGGGTAGGATCGTGAGAAACAAAGAACTAAACCAACTTCCCTTAATACCCCCCTTCTTCCCAGGTTCACCTTCCCCCTTCACTACTGACTTTCTTTTCTCGGACACCCCTTCCTCCTCACACTTCTCCCTGCCCCAGTGTAAGCATTTCCTGCATTCCTTCAGGATAAATCTGCAGTATGGGATCGCCTTCAGATCCGCAGGGAAGGCGCAGCCGGGCCGGGCTCTCTGCCAGGCCGCAGGGCCATCCCTGCCGGCTCTCTCCTGCCCCGTCCCTGCTCCCGCTGTCCCCTCGGGGCTCGCAGGGCTGTTTCTCGCTCGCTTCCCCTGGCTCAGCCCTGGCTGCCGGGCAGCGTTTTGCCCTCCCTTGCCCAGGCTTTCCCCGGGGCTGAGGGGCTCAGCCGTGCCCTGCGCTGGGGCCGCTGCAGCCGCCGGCACCGCCTGGGGCCGGCCCGGGCAGCGCCGGCACAGCCCCGGCCCTGCCGCCACCGCCGGGGCACCCTCAACTGACTCAAGTCCACTGTGAAGTTCCTAGAACACGTTGTTTCTAGAATTTAGAACTTAATACAGGTCTTACAAAGTAAAATATATTGTCTGCCAACGAAACACAAATAACAACAAATGGCTTGTTATTATCTTGCTGTTAGTAGCCTTCATTATACCCAATCCATACATCCCTTTTTCACATGGCCAAATGTTACGTGAATAGGTCTAGCTCATAATGGATTATCTTTCAAAACCATTTTAAAATATGAATCATGGGTCTATTTTCCTTTTTCCCATAACTTAATTCAGTATAGATGATATAAACACACTAGGTTTCTTGAACCAATTATTTTTATGCTGCTCTTCATGTTATCAGCTCATTTGACCCATATAACAATCCTTATCAGGAAAAGGATATCCTTTTCTCACCATAATCTTGCTTAAACATGATTTTTGGGATCTTCATATTTCCATCCTTGTTATATTCACCAAGTGTCTTTCTAAAAATTGAAAATAGCTGAAATTCATATCTACTGAAAAACTAAAATCCCTGAAGTTTGTTTTTTTTTCCGGCTTTCAATTTTCCCTTCCCATTTTTCAGATACTTCTATAAAAATTTCTTAAATCCTTTAATCTGAGGTGTTATTTTATCTTTGTTTATTGCACCTTTCATTTATTTTGACACATGACAATTTGTGATCAATTTACTTGAAATTTTGTTCTCTTTCTTTCCCAATTCCCCTGATTCATTCTTACTTTAGTTTCTTCACTATATAGCCATAAATCTTATACCTTCCAGTGGTTTTGCAAGTATCAGAATTTTGTCTTTGCTTTACTTGATCAAAAACTTTCAAAGGTTTACTTTTTTTCACTCGGAGAAGAAAAAGTTTTTGAACTGCAAATTGATGTAGGGTTTCTAAAGAGTTCTGCTTTCTTTGTCTCAATAGCAGATTATATTGTCTTTGTCCTAAATTTAAAAGCAAATGAATAATATATTTTAGAAGAAAATACCTACCTAAACAGTTGATGGAACTGATGCTTGCAGAGGTCTTACCAAGCAGAAAGATGAATTTTTTTGGATTAAGCAGACCATACAGCCAACTTGTTTCGAGTGGTTTATCAGTTTTTAGTGGCTAACAACCCTAATGATTGCTATTGCGCCCTTAATTTCCTGACTGTTATCATACAGAGTAACATCCTTGGCTTCCCTGCAGTTACTGCTTTGTGGCATTTCTAGAAAGAAGCACCTTAGAGTGTTATACCCCTATTTGCAAGGTAATTGGGCTTTCCCATGGCTGGCCAGGTCTAAGAGAAAAAAACCTGTTTGAAACCACATGTAAAACAGGATTTATCATGTTAAAATAGTAATCAGTATTATCAGGAAACATTTTTCAAACTGCAACATAATGCTTTCAATTCTACACACTCTTTAAAAAAAAACTATGATAATGAACACTCAGCAAATCAGTTGATTTTAAACAGCCTAACACCTACAACTGACCGTATTCATGGTCTCTAGTTGTTAAGTAAAACAAACTAGTGGGGTTTTTTATTTCATTTAGTAAATATCTTTGAAAATTCATATGCTAATTGCCCACTAAATAATTAAAATATTCATTCTTCAAAAACAAATAATATTCTATGCTTGCACTATCAGTTTTATGCATTTAGAAAGTTAATGGAGGATTATGTAAGAAAACAGATTTAGAGAAAGACAAAACTCCTGTTGAAAAGGCAAGGAAGCTGCTATATTAAAAGAAATACCACCCTTGCCTCATCAGGATATTTACTGTTATTTTCTGGATGGACAAGTGAGAAGTTGGGAGTTAGTCATCCATTTTTTAAGGCAAACAGGAGTGCACTGCGGTTGTTGATGTGAAAGATGATCAGACCTGACAAAAGCTGTGGTATGAAGAGAAATGGCTGTATTTGGAAGAACTGGAAGAGGAAAAACAAACAGCATTTAACAAGTACACCACAGGCAAGGAATAGTGTTAAAAATTAGATGTAATTCCATGGTTGAAAGAGCAGTGCAATTTGAATTGATGGATAAGAAATGAAGAATAAAAATGATCTAGACTAAAGGTAATCTATATTTGGAAGTTAAACTTAAGAACATAACTGAATCTTCAAGCATGCATGCACAAAAATCCAGACTTAAATTCACTTTATATGCCATGGTATAAAAAAAATCCCCAGACTGCAGTTAGGCAATAAAGTCAAAAATAAAAGTAAAAAATTCATTTTGCTTGGGAAACAATATGTAGCCACTCTTAGGTATAGAAATTTCAGTGAAAAAGCCACATATTCACTTACCTGACGCGTAAATAAGTACTGATAAAGGGGCTACCATTACTTTCCCCAAAAATACCCAAAATTTGTTGTAGGCATTGCAGAAAGCTCTGAGTCTGAGTATGGAATTGACCTGGTGCAGCTTACTCTGAGAATTATGAGTCCTGATTCTCATCCCACACCAAACTTGTGCATCTCTAGGATGTGCTACAATGTTTTACAAGAGTAGAAATATGCATAAAATATAACTGGAATTTTTAATCTCAGGAATCATGTTGGTGTGTTCTCCTATACTAATATAATGAAAAATATATATACTATACTAATAAATAGAAAAATCATGTTTAAGAAAAATGCTTTAATGATTAAATGTAATTTGAAATGTTAACTTCCCTTTCAAAAATATTTGTTTGATAAAATTATATTCTTATCACAAAACCAGAAAACTTCATGTGAATTACTGTCTTAGGTGTTGATTTGAATTTAAAATGATGAATCAAAGATGAAGTATAAAAACTACCAGCTACAGCTAAAACTATTCTCACAAGTTATGTCCACTATGTAGCTACAAAAATATAGGTGCACATGAAGTATCACATGAAAAATACAGATGTTCTTTTTTCAAAAAAACTTATATAAGACACTTGTTGAACGTTTGTTTAGTTTTTATATTTTACAGAATAAATATTAGGTTGATATGTGTGAATGCTATGTTATTCCAATGCTTTTCATCTTCTTTGATCAGACGGCTCTATCAAAAACCTAGGTGCATTTGGTCTCTTTGTTGTTGTTGTTTGTTTGCTTGCTTTTATTCCTGCAGCTTATTCAAACCATAAGTGCAGTAGACAAAGATGACCCCCTTGGTGGACAAAAATTTTTCTTCAGTTTAGCTGCCGTTAACCCTAACTTCACTGTTCAGGATAACGAAGGTAAAATTCATGCCTGTTCCAAGGAAGGAGTTTACATTCCTGAAATATATTTGCTTTTGATGTCTATAGAGAAGTTGTGAAGGTTACTACTATCAAGAATTCTTTACCTGAATGAGGTTTAGGACTTCTACACTTGTATCTGTGTAGATAAAGCAATAATGTGATAAGAAAAGTTATAAAGAAAATCAGAAAAGTGTTGGCTTGGCGTAAGAAACAGATGAAATACTTGACTACAAAAGAAAAAAAGCTTTCAAAAATGCCTTCATCTGACAAGTTGAGATTTTTCATTTTAGCCTTTTGTGACATAGTTCTGATTCCCCTGGCCTTCTGTTTTGCTTCTTTCTGACCATTAATGAAAATAATGGTTCTAAGAGCCACTTTGGATTTTCTTTTGATCCTTTCTCAATCTGTCTTTGTCAGAGAAAATTTTCAGAAGCTTCTGTTGGGGAAGTGAGACTATGAATTTTGGCTTTCATTATTAGTATGACTAATTGAGAGGACTCTAGATTACAGAAGACATAAATGAGAGGGGATGTGGTATCAGTCTTCAAATGTGTCAAAGGCATAAAGGCAAAGGGAATAATCCTCTGTTCCTGATGAATATTTCAGGATGTAGTAGACTACAAACAACAGCATAAAAAAAAACTTCTAATGGTAGAGAAAGTGGAGTAATTAAATAAAATATTTTGCATACCTTATGAAATCCTTTGCAGAAGAGGTATTTAAAGATCCTAAAGGCACTTAATTTTTGATGTTGAGTGAAAACAAATAATGTTAAAATACATAATACCAGTGAAGGGAAGCAAGAAAGAAAATCTTTGTGCTTTACATCTTGAAGTCTGTGAAAAAATACATGATTTAATATTTTAAACAAACGTTATATCTTGGTGATTAGGTCCTGAGTACAGAGAGGTATAGATCTTAATATTTCCTTATTATCTGTAATTATTTTCTTTCTTTTTGCACATGGGTTATTTTAGTTTTGCCTGAAGTTAGCTGTCAAGATAACTGACCACATAGTTCAGGCAACCCTCAAATATGATGAAAATTAAATTTTCCTTTTAGTGCACACTAAACCTGTATTTTCTCTCTTTTGGACTAAACAGTTATCAACTCTGGTGTTGGCTGTCACTCTAGCATTGTGGCTCTAACAGCAGAAGAAATAGTCTTTCCCTGTTATTCATTCCTTCTATTCCTTCCCTTCCCTCTGGCCACTCAGTGGACAGCTTTTCATGCTGACGTATCCTGCACACAACTAAGATTTATCTGCTACAGATACAGTTTAGTAAGTTCACTTCTCAAAGATGTGCAGGAATACCAACCATCTTTCACATTTTCTGAATTCCTAAGACAATTTCTATCTAAAAAAAGCCCTACTTCCTGTGCTAAGGTACATAATTCATTGTTCTACAGTGTGTTGAAAGTGGTTTGGTTTAGCAAATCTCATACTGAGTTGACAGCATTCCTGTGGGTGTTGTCACAGATGATCCATAGAAAGAATCTTCTAGAACAGAGTACTTGTTGAACTGCACAAAGTGGAAGGTTATTTTTCCTCGGTTGGTTCCTGTGTTTCAGGGTTTCAGCCCTGAACTGTAACTGTGTCACACATTGCATGCATTAATCTATAAAATATTTTAAGCTTTGAGAAATCCTCTTTTCAAATCACACGCCAAAGTGGTGCAGAGGCATAGAGAAGCAGGCCAGATGTACCTAAAATCTTATAAATAGCTTTCTGATCAAATGGGAATGTTGTTAGAAAAACAGAGATATCACTATGATATCAGGATCTATTTTGAAGTCATATAAAATACAGTAATTTGCATCTACTATGAATTATATGGTTTCTGTTTGTATAGCTTACAACAGTATCTTTTAATCGATCTAGATAACACTGCCAGGATTTTGACGAGGAGGAATGGCTTTAGTCGACATGAAATAAGTACTTACCTTCTCCCAGTGGTGATCTCGGACAACGACTACCCGATCCAGAGCAGCACGGGCACGCTGACCATCCGCGTGTGTGCCTGTGACAGCCGGGGCAACATGCAGTCCTGCAGCGCCGAGGCCTTGCTGCTCCCTGCCGGCCTCAGCACGGGGGCACTGGTGGCCATTCTCCTCTGCATCATTATCCTGCTGGGTAAGAAGAGAAACACGTCTTCCCCTGCCTTAAATATTTGTCCCAGGAACAAATATTTAAGGCCTGACTCATTTCACAAAATTATGCAAATTGATAGAGTTAATAATCCTGGATTTTGCAAGAATACAACTGCAGCTTAAAATACAAAGGAAAAAATGAAGGCAAACCCTAATTTAACACCGTAAATAAGAATTCAAGTCCCAGACTGTTAAGCTATCACTGTGCAGCCAGAAGCTCATTTATGTTCTTCTGTTAAGTTGTCCAAAAAAAGAAAGTTCAGAGAGGATGAATAGTATAATCAAAAATTGCTTTCATGTCTTTCATTTTAATTTTTTTTGCGAAAAAATCTCTTTTTTTTGAATAACTACTAAAAATCAATATGCAGAATCTATTTCACATGTAATGTAACAGTATAACAGTAAGCAGAAATTTTACTACATCAAAGCCCTGTCTATCCAGTGGTTTCAGGGCTGTAATAAAAAAAAAAAAAAGGAAAATTTTACAATACGTCCATTTTGTGGTTTTCAGAATAACACTTAATGACCTATAATTCAACTCAAACCCACTTTTTAACAATATCCTTTGAGCTTGAAAAAGGAAAAATATCTTCAGAATAGACCTGGCTATTTTAATGCTCATTACAGCTACAGAAGGAGCATGCAGACAAGCTCATGGTCCTGTAAGGCAGAGCACACAATGTGTGCAAAATAGGTTTTTGATACAGACTTTATTGTGCTACCATTATACAGATAGAGGTGTTTATCCAGTTATAAAAAAAAATGAGTTGGCGAAATGTAGCTGAAATGTAGTTCTTGCACCTGGTGGATTTGCTGCTAAGAAATTGTTAAATAGAGATTTTTACCCATTCTTTGTTTCCCTCTTTAAGTTATAGTGGTGCTATTTGCTGCTCTGAAGAGGCAACGAAAGAAGGAGCCTTTGATCCTTTCTAAAGAGGACATCAGAGACAACATTGTGAGTTACAATGACGAAGGAGGTGGAGAGGAAGACACCCAAGCCTTTGATATCGGCACGCTGAGGAATCCTGCAGCTATGGAAGATAAGAAGCTTCGGCGAGATATTATTCCTGAAACATTATTTGTGCCACGGAGGACTCCTTCGGCACCAGACAACACAGATGTCCGAGATTTCATTAACCAAAGGCTAAAAGAGCACGACACTGATCCCTCCGCGCCGCCGTATGACTCGCTTGCAACCTATGCCTATGAAGGAAACGATTCCATAGCTGAATCCTTGAGCTCCTTGGAGTCAGGTACTACCGAAGGAGACCAAAACTATGATTACCTCCGAGAGTGGGGCCCTCGGTTTAATAAGCTAGCTGAGATGTACGGTGGAGGAGAAAGTGACAAAGACACTTCTTAACCTACAGTAGGCTACTTTTTTCTTTTCCTTTGAGCGGAAGTAATTTTACAGACACCTTCTGCACTCAACAGTATTTAACATTCAGGAAAATTTTCCTGCCACTCAGCACAATGGTTTCCTTTTAAAATTTGTTTTAAACTTGTCCATTAATGTCATTCATTCTTTCTAGTAGGATGCCACTTGGAATATATACAACATTTTATTTAATCAAACTTCCAAGAGCCAAAGCTATGGAAATTCAGTGTTGTACATTTTAGTAAGTAAAATAAAAAATATCTTACCTTCAGAAATTTGAACAGGGTGATAATCCCTTAAGCAACCTCATGTACAAGCCGCTTCTGTTAGGTACATGTCCTATTCCTGCAAGTGCAGCTTTTAAGATGGCGAAGAAGAAAAAAATCCAATATGTCCTGTTCTGTACATTAAAATAAAACAAAATGTACACGTGGTGTTAATAAGTGTAATATGCAGCTGGTTTAAAAAAAAGTTTGTGCAACTTCATTTCATCAAATTCTATCTGCCAATGTTTTATATTTATATTTTTGTATTTATTTTTAAAAAATAAACCAGTTTTTACAACTATGTTAATGATTGCCTGCCTGTTCTCACCAGGAGTTTCATGCTTGAGGAGAAAATGGAATTTCTCCAGTGACATCACAACCAATTGCTAATACTTCTGTGCTGAAGTATTCTCCACACATGCAACACAGTCTGAAGTGCTTATGCTCACTGAGACAGGAGCAAGTTATACAATTACTTGCTTGCTCAGAAGTGCTACTTTCTACAGTTCAATGTTTATGAGAATTTTTTTGGTTTTATTTTTTAACTGAACTAATCATATTCTAGCCTAGAAAGATGAAATACTATCTTGTATCACCTCAAATAGCCTTATTCTAAAAACATGTTGGCACAATTTATCTATCCAAACACATAACATTAGTTTCAAAATCTCAGTTTATTTGTTCTATAGTTCTCCATTTTGAATCATACTTACATTATCAGAAGTGATCTGTAAGTGCAGCAGATAAAGTGTAAAAAGATGCTCCATCCTTTTTAAGCTCTATTTTTCCAAAGACAAATCATTAGCTGACAAGCACTGTGTGTTGTTTTTCAACCGCTTTTAAAGCCGTCAATCTGAAGACTGAGGAAATGTCACAAAAACTAGCATCCCCTCCCCTCAATTTACTGAGTTTTCTCAAGTCTGGTAAAAAGAAACCTCAGCAACTAGTCAACTGTAACCAAAAATATACTTTAGCTATCACAAAACAGACTAGGTATCTGAAAACATTTTGAAATGCTTCTTCTTTTCCCTTAATCTTTAGGTTACACAAATTTTGTACTAGGCAAGCACTGAAGACAATTTTGAAATGCTGCTGAGATTAAATAATTACAGAGCCAAACCAGTATGTTAAAAGGTGTGTATTAGCTACTGTGGGAGAAAAACACTTGAGGGTTTATTTCTCCTCACTTTCTCTTAGCTAATTATTGGCATAACACCAAGAGATATTGGAAATATATTAGTCCTTTGAAAAGTGGAATGCTGCATTCTCTTTTAGCTGGATTTTTCTTCTCCTTAATGGGCTGATAAAATCCAATGAAGTTGAAAGCTGAATACACTACCATTAAGCAATCTATTTTGGTGCAATGGAGACCAAATTTTTATTGACTTGATATCAAATTAAACTATTTGATCTATTAGCAAACTGTGAATATTATGGATTTTTCTTCATTTCAACCAATAGTACTTTAATTAACTAATTAATTTTTATATTCCTTAGTGGAATATGAATCTAAGAAAATTAAGAAATGTCTTACATAATCAGCATTATGAAGCTTTTTAAAAGTCTTACAGGTGATACAAACAGTTGATCTTCTTTATAATCACTTAGTGAAGAGGACCAAATTTTTTTCTTCCAAATCCCCATTAATCCTTCAACAGCCTGCAATAAGAAGAAACAAACAATTAATATCCAGCCATTAAATATATAAATAGACAAAAGGCACTCTTCCAAAACTAATTTTGTCTACAGCAACACTGAGATCAGTGACATGCTATGTATTTCACTGAGTACATACTAGGGCAGGAGATGAAATAGGCTGCAAAACATCTGGGTTTTTTTACCTCTTTGCTTGCCAAAAAATAAAAAAATAAAAAATTGGTTGAACAGTTTCAGACAACAATTCTACATACAACTCAGTAAAAATCTAAAAATTTTTCTATTACTGTGTTGGAGGAAGTTATTTTATAACTATTCAGTAGAATCTGAATCTCATGTTGAAAATTTAATCCTGTGTGTGTTATTAAATAAAATATTATTATACATTGTGAAAGTATACAACCATATATAAACATGCTACTAACATTATTATACAAATAGTACATTTTTTTAAATTTGTTGCTGTATCCTTGGACATTTATTTCTCAGTTCATTTTAGGAAATTTTAGGAATCAAGGGCACTATTACAATGTCTTCTTGCACCCATAAAATACTGAGGAATTGGAAAGTGAAACTCCTAGACATCTCAAAGTGGAAAAATTGTAGAACAGGATACCTGCTTCCTAAGTAGTACCTGGTAAGCTTAGCCACATGAAATGAGATGAAAATTAGCAAAACATAGTAAACAAAATCATGGTGTTGTTTAGTCTGAATGAATTTTCTGTATGTTCTTAAGACAAAATTGCCACAGGACCACAGAAACAAGGAAAATACATTAATACTGCCCTTCAGTTGGAACTTACCAGTTATTTACAACAAGACACCTTACGAGTGTTTAAAAAGTCAGAAGTATATAAAAACTATTGTAGCTACTGGACATGCAATTGACAGTGAGTTCTCAGAGTCTGTTGCAAAAAAAAAAAAAAAAAGAAGTATATTTAAAGGGATTTTATGGAAGCAGATGTGCACAAGACCTTGTGTTAGTGACAACAATGCAAAGAGTAGTATTTCATAGGGCCTTCAGGAAAGTGGTTGACAGGAGGAACAGTCTAAGGAGAGTAAAAAAATGCCAGAGTACAAAACAAGCACTTAAACCAACAAAATCCTCACATTGCAAACATAAGGTAATATCCACCCGCTTCCATCTCTGTATATGCAGATGTTTTTTACTCATTCACTCTTACAGCATATCATATTTCCAAAATTTCTCCTTCAATCATATGCAATAATATTCCCAGGCCAAACTATTTATCAATTGCATTACTGTCTGTCAAGAGTTTACCCTTCATTCCTCTCACTCATTGTCCAGTGTGACTCTGTTGCCTTTGAATCACATGTTCCTATGATTTCTTAAATTCTTCCTGTGCTACCTGTCACACAGAGTTGGAAGAAAGAGGACCAATTTTGCTATATTATTTCCCTTCAAACCTGTTATTATCATTTGCTCCTACTGGGTTAACTGCATAAACATTTGTTAATGGCTACAGAGCTGCTCGTTATGCTAATGACAGAATATTCTGAGTTGGAAGGGATCCACAGGAATCATCATGAATGATGGAGAAAATGAAATGGAATAATTTCTCTAGGTTGTTTCAGACTGGCTTGCCCTTATTCTCTTAGAATTAAATTTTTTTACAATGTTCCTCTAAGTTTGTCCAATATTGAGTAAAAAGAAAATACTCTCTTTTGGCCCATCACTAACTACTCAAAAAAAGAAAAAAACAACTTATGAACCTGTCAAGAAGCTGGTTAGTAACATACATGTTATATAAGAATATAAAGAGTTTAGGTTTCCTTATTTTGTGTCAAATAAGTTGAACTGGAGATCAGGAAATAAAAGTTACCAGAAGCCTTCAAACACTGTGTTATTATTTTCCAGCTCACTTGAACAGCACAGAAATCACTCAGCTGTAATCTGCTCATAGCAAGATGAACAAATAGATGTTCAATCTAAAACAATTTCACTTATTCGTGACTGTTTTCTACTACATTCAAAGCCATCCTATAAATAGTAAACATAAGGAGATAATTGGAAATATAAGGAGACATGTGAATACAACTTTTATTTTTCCAACAAAGTATTCTGGGCTTCTCTATTGTCTCTCCAGTTTTTCAGAGTCTTATTTAAACTCTTCTAATATGGTTAAGCTGGATAAAAAGTCACTTTCTACATGACAGAAGATAGAACTAATAACATGAGAATTCACAAATAAAATAAGCCAGACAGAATTTTTTTTAAATTCTTTTGTTTTTCCTTCTTCACAGCTATTTTTATTTCCATTTTAAAATAATATAGTCAACCATGAAATCAAAATGAGAGTTTTTAAACAATTTTTTTTTCAGAATGTCAGTTTTTCTTGATTTTTGTTGCACCAAAAAATCAAAACGAGAATTAATTTTTGAGAAAATCCGTTGTCTTTAAATTGATGTAAACACTGGTCAACAAGGAAAAACTAAAAATATATTTGGAAAGAAATATGAAATATTCCTTTCTTTTTTGACTACATACCAGAAATCATATAAATTTTGAACTTATATTTGGTAAAATAATTTTGTACATTTTCATTAATGTTTGCTGAATGGCATTTTGTTTATTAATTAAGTTTTGGAAGGTAAGCATTTTATAAGTATTTTTTCACCCATATCTAGCTACTGTGTGTGGAAACTTCTATTAAAACTTTTTGAGGGAAGCAGAACAAATTCTAATTTATTATATTCACTAAAAGGTCAGAGGAAAGTCAGTAGCTGAATCTAGAAAGTATCTTTTACGTTCCAAACAGGTAGCATGACTTGCAACTTTGCAGTCACAGAAAGTACAGAAAATACAAATTAATTAATCAGTAACACCTGAAAAGATTTAGAAGTCATGATGCTGTTAAAAAACTTTAATTTACTTCAGTGTATTTAACATAGGTGCATAAGAAATATCTCCATCATATCGCATGTTGCTATTGTTTGCCTCATCCTACTCATTTCAGAACAGTGAAATATTACAGAATCAATTAACTTCCTTAATTTTGGCTGGTTTCTGGATAGTGTGGTATCCTGCTTGTTCACAAGGACAGAAATTAAGATTTGACCACTCACAGTAATTTCATTTGCATGTTATGAATCAAGGCAGTTACACTTCTTACATCTGAAGAGGGAGCTTCACATTTCATAATCTGCTAAGCTTTCCAGAAGGTATTTGACAAGAGCTATCATCAACATTTCTAAAGAAATTAAGCTAGAAAATCTTCTCCTCAACAAAATACAGAAAAAATTAATTAATTATTCAATGATCCTAATAGAGGATGGACAAAAGTAGAATTCTTCTAGATCTGATCATT